CCTGGGGCTCCCAGGGTCCCAGGGGGTTTATGTAACATGTGGTCTTCTGGGCCCCCAGGCTGGACCACCTCTTGCGCGGCATCTGGGAGCTCAGAGTTGTGAGAATGTCTTGTGCGAAACAGGCCAGACCAACTTGCGCACGGCATTTCAGAGCTCAGAGTTGCAAGGATGTCTCAGGCGAGACGGGCCAGTGTCTCGGGCGAAACGTGCTGCGAGGAAGTCTCAGGCGAAACGGGCCGGACCACCTCGAGCGCGGCGTCTCAGAGCTCCGAGTTGCGGGGGCCTCCTGGTGCCTCCTGGTGCCTCCTGGTGACCTCCTGGGGCTTCCTCCTGAGCCTCCTGTGGCCTCCTGATCTCCACCTGGGGCTTCCTGAAGCCTCTTGGGGCTCCCAGGGGGGATATCTAACCTGTGGCCGCTTGGGCCGCTCAAAATGGAGGGGGGGCCACAAGAGCAGGAAAAATCAACGAATCGGCACCGGATGTGTATTAACTTGACACGTTCTGATAGGGGGCCTCCTGGGGCCTCCTGGGAGCCTCCTGGGAATCTCCTGCGGACCCCTGGGGCCTGTCCTGGGCGTCCTGCGGCCTCCTGGAGCTCTCTGGGGCCTCCTGGGGTTCCCAGGGGGTTTATGTAACATGTGGTCTTCTGGGCCCCCAGGCAGGACCACCTCTTGCGCGGCATCTGGGAGCTCAGAGTTGTGAGAATGTCTTCTGCGAAACAGGCCGGACCACCTTGCGCACGGCATCTCAGAGCTCAGAGTTGCGAGGATGTCCCAGGCGAGACGGGCCGGACCACCTCGCGCAGGGCATCTCAGAGCTCAGAAGTTCGAGGATGTCTCATGCGGGCTCCCAGGGTCCCAGGGAAGATATGTAACATGTGGTCTTCTGGGCCCCCAGGCTGGACCACCTCTTGCGCGGCATCGGGGAGCTCAGAGTTGTGAGAATGTCTTCTGCGAATTTGGCCGGACCAACTTGCGCACGGCATCTCAAAGCTCAGAGTTGCGAGGATGTCCCAGGCGAGACGGGCCGGACCACCTCGCGCAGGGCATCTCAGAGCTCAGACGTTCGAAGATGTCTCAGGCGAAACGGGCCGGACCACCTCTCGCGCGGCATCTCCGAGGTCAGAATTTCGAGGATGTCTCAGGCGAAACGAGCCGGACCACCTCGCGCAAGGCATCTCAGAGCTCAGAATTTCAAGAACGTCTCAGGCGAAACGGCCCGGACCACCTCTCGCACGGCACCTCGGGGCTCAGAGTTTAGAGGATGTCTCAAGCGAAACGGCCCGGACCACCTCTCGCGCGGCGTCCCAAAGCGCAACTGTTCAAGGATGTCTCAGGCGAAACGGCCAATCCCGGCCAACTCAGAAACGAGAGTTGTGAGGATGTCTCAAGCGAAACGGCCGGACCATCAAATTTTCGTGAGGATGTCTCTTCTCCGGCTTCCCTCGGCCGGAGTTCGCTTCTATCACAACAGCATCCCGTTCAGCAAGCTGTTTGGGGAATTATTGCAGTAACCTGTAAAGAAAAAACTTCGAGGGAAAGTGAATAGCACCATCGTTGTTGCGTCTTGGGTTTGTAATGGTCGCCCTCCTCCTCTTCCTTTTCCTCGCCCTCCTCCTCCTCCTCCTCCTCCCTCCCGCCCCAGACGGAGTTGGTCCCCCGCATCCTACTCCACCTGCGCCTCTGTCTCCTCTCGTCTCCTCAACCCTCCTTCCCCCTTCCTCCTGCTCCTCCCCGCCTGCCCGTGATCCTGTCATTCCCCTGCTCCTGCGGGTCCTGCTCCTGCCCCTGCTCCTTTTCATCCTCCTCGTTCTTCTGGGCGGCTGTATGTATATGAAAACACATGGCATGGCAATTGCGTCATTGTCGTGCTGTCGATGAGTCTAACACCTCCTCCTGCTGCTAGTTTTGGTCCTCAGTCTGTTCCTGTTTGTCTCTCGTCGTCGTCGTCGTCGCCGCGTTCCTCCTCTTATTCCTCCTTCTCCTCCTCTTCCTCCTCTGTCCTGTCCTCTTCCTCCTTGTGCTGCTTGCTGCTGCTGCTGCTGCTCCTTCTGGCGATCACCTGGATACTGTGGGGTGGGAGGGGGGGGGGGGGGGGGGGGGGGTACTGGGACGGGAGGGGAAGGAAAAGGAGTAAAACCATGGAACAGGGTGGACGATAGGGACGGGCATCTGAAGGCCGAGGATGCTCGTTGCCGCGTGTGGCGACTCCTCATCCTCCTCCTCCTCCTCCTCCTTCCCTTCCTCCTCGCCCTCCTTCTCCTCGTCCCCCCCTCCTCCTTTTCCTCCTCCTCCCCCTCATCGTCGTCCGTCCTTGTACCCCTGTTTCTATTACTGCTGCTGCTCATCCTCCTGCCACTCTTTCCCGTCCTCCTGCTTCCCTCCCTTCGTGTCCTCCTCCTCCTCCTCCTCCTCCTCCTTTCCCCCTCCTCCTCCGACACCCCTCCTCCTTCTCCTCCTCCTCCTCCTCCTCCTCCTCCTCCTCATCATCATCATCAATCATCATCATCATCATCATCATCATCATCATCATCATCATCATCATCATCATCATCATCATCATCATCATCATCATCATCATCATCATCATCATCATCATCATCATCATCATCATCATCATCATCATCATCATCATCATCATCATCATCATCATCATCATCATCATCATCATCATCATCATAATCATCATCATCCTTTCGCTCCGCGTATTTCTCCTCATGAGATGTTCCCTCTCCCTACTCCTCTCCTCCTCCGCCTCCTCCCTCCTCCTCCTCCTCCTCTCCTCCTCCTCCTCCTCCTCCTCCTCCTCCTCCTCCTCCCTCCCCCCCCTCCTCCTCCTCCTCCTCCTCCTGCTCCTTCCTCCTCCTCCTCTCCTCCTCCTCCTCCTCCTCCTCCTCCTCCCCCTCCTCCTCCTGCTCCTGCTCCTCCTCCTCCTCCTCCTCCTCCTCCTCTTTCTCCTCCTCCTCCTCCTCCTCCTCCTCACCTCCTCCTCCTCTTCCTCCTCCTGTTCCTCCTTCTCCGAATCGTCCTCCATCCATTTTCCTTAGAAATCGCTTCTCCCTGTCGCACCCCGGGACGTGTCGGTAGGGCGGGCCGGGCGTTTCGCCTGAGACCTCCACACCCTTCAGGATCCGTAATCTGAGAACTCGCAAAAGTTCCACGGAAAGAAAGCGGGCCGTTTTCAACATGTCGTTATCGCCTTAGCGCCGCACGCACTCGTTAGTTAATCATCCTGGCGAAGGACCTAACCATATGCAGTTGTGAATGCCGCCGTTGTGAGAATTGCCTTCGGTGGAGCCTCCTATGAGCATGAAGCGCGCGAAGTGTGCGCCCCAACAGGGCGGGGCCGCCATGCGGGCGCTGCCGCTGGGGCCTTCGGTGACCCCCGTATGGGGCCGCAGAACGTGTGCGGGGCGTGCCAAAGTGGAGGGGGGCGGCATGCGAACCATGCCACTGGGGCCTTCGGTGGAGCACCCTATTGGGCCACGAAACGTGTGAGGTGTGTGCCAACATTAATGGGCGGCAGCATGCGAACCATGCCACTGGGGCCTTCGGTGGAGCTCCCTATGGGGCCACGAAGCGTGTAAGGGGTGTGCCAACCAAAGTCGAGGGTGGCGGCATGCGAACCGTGCCACTGAAGCCTTCGGTGGAGCTCCCTATGGGGCCACGAAGCGTGTGAGGGGTGTGCCAAAGTGGAGAGAGGGGGTGGCATGCGAACTATGCCGCTGGGGCCTTCGGTGGAGCACCCTATGGAGCCGCGAAGCGTCTGAGGGGTGTGCCAAAATGGAGGGGGGCGGCATGCGAACTAAGCCACTGGGGCCCCCAGTGGAGCTCCATGTGGGGCCGCGAGACGTGTGAGGTGTGCGCCAACGTGGAGCGGGGGCGGCATGCGAACCATGCCATTGGGGCCGTCGGTGTAGCTCCCTATGGGGCCACGAAATGTATGAGGCGTCTGCCAAAATGAAAGGGGGGCGGCATGCGAACCATGCCACTGGGGCCTTCGGTGGAGCTCCCTCTGGGGCCACGGAACGTGTGAGGGGTGTGCCAAAGTGAGGGGGGCGACGGGAGTGCTGAACTAGTTGACATGCGGCGGGCAGAGGCAAAGGTGGAAGGAGGGAGGAGCGGGAGAAAGCGGAGAGGAGAGGAGGAGAGGAGGAAACGCGTGGACTGTCTCTTCAAAGCGAAGACCCAACACCTTCAGGACGGCTGAGCAAAAATGCAAGAGCTTCACGGATAGAGGGCGGGCCGCTGCCAAGATGTCGTTATCGCCGTAGCGCCGCGCACATTCGCCTTAAACATTAGCAGGAATGTGACGCATGGAGGGCGGGTCGTTTTCAAAATGTGGCTGTCGCCGTATCACTTCGCACATGCGTCTTACACATTTGCAAAAGCTTCATTGATGGAGGCTGGCTCGTTTTCAAAATGCGGTTTGCGCCTTAGCGCCGAGCGCATTCGTCTTAGAAATTTGCAAGACTTTCACGGATGGAGAACGGTACCTTTTCAAAATGTGGCTCTCGCCTCACAGCCGTTTCAAGGATTCTCATGGTTGGCATCCCAAGCATGTTAGTTTGGCACGATTGACAGTCAGAACGCAACGGTTACGTTGTTCCGGGATGTTGAAGTCCCAGAAACGGTGTCCTGACACGATTCAGGGTCGCCGAGACGCATCAGTAGAGTTGACTTGCTGCGTTGATGGTCCAAGAATGGTGTCCTGTCACGGCTCAAGATTTTCAAACGGTTGTCTTCCAACGGTGCACTTCCCTTAATGAAAACGACCCCTCGTAGAGACCCATAAAGAGGGAACTTAATGGGCGGGTGTATTGCAACATCGTTGATGAGTCTTGGGTTTGCACTGGTCCTCCTCCTCCACCTCCTCCTTCAGCTCCTCCTCCTCCTCCTCTTCCTCCTCTTCCTCCTCCTCCTCCTCTCCCCTCTTCCCCCTTTCCTCCCCCCTCGTCTTCCTCCTCCTATTCCCACGTCCTCCCCCCCCCCGGAGAGCTCCTCGCTTCGGCGGCACCGCGCCTCCGAAGCCCATGTCCGCGCGGGTCTGCATGGGCACCTTGGCGCCTCGACCGACGCCGCCCTCATAGCCTCGGCCCGCGCGGGCTGCGGCGGCGGCGGCAGCGAGGGCGACGCCCCTCGACGACGACGATCGAGGATTTGTTATTGACGACGACGACCAGCGACAACGGCGAGGGCGACGTTCCCCCCCCCCCCAAACGACGACGACAACGACGACGACAACGACGACGACGTCGACGACGATTTCTATTTGTTGCTGATGATGTTTCGGCGGATGAGATGTTAGATACTTTTCATGGGGGCCTCCAGTGTCCTTGGCGGTGTGGCGTAAGCCAATGGATCTCCGATGAAGCCCGTACAACTCGCGCCAGGAATAAGAGATCCCACCATGAGAAAGGCTGGGGCACGTCTCCTGACCAACGCAAGCGTTACTATGTGTCCGGATAGCTCTAAAATCCGCCGACCCTGTCGGCGTGTGTGAGGGGCTTCTCCGTTCGACTCGTCGTCTCCGTCGTCTCCGTTCTCCCCCTCCCAGGGCTCTCCTCCTCAAGCGCGCTATCCAAAGCGAAATTAAACGACGTCGTAGTGGAGTCGAAGGGGGGGGGGGGAGGGGGGGGGGGGCCCGGGGCAGATACGACGCCCGCCGGGGCGCACTTTCCTCGAGCGGGCACGCACGGGATGCACTTCCTCCTCCTCCTGGTCCTCCTCCTCCTCCTTTTCCTCCTCCTCCTCCTCCTCCTCCTGCTCCTCTCCTCCTTCTCCTCCTCCTCCTCCTCCTCCTCCTCCTCCTCCTCCTCCTCCTCCTCCTCCTCCCGCAGAGGCGTCCCGGGAGCGGGCCCCGAGTCAAAATACCACCCCCCCAGGGCGCATTTTCCTCGAGCGGGCACGCTCGAGATGCATTCTTCCTCTTCTGGGAGCACGTCCCAAGTCAGAATATCGCACTCCCGGGGCGCACTTTCTTCGAGCGGGCACACAAAGGATGCACTTCCTCCTCCTCCTCCTCCTCCTCTCCTCCTCCTCCCCTCCTCTCCTCCTCCTCCTTCCTCCTCCTCCTCCTCCTCCTCCTCCTCATCCTCCTCCTCCTCCTGCTCCTCCTCCTCCTCCTCCTTCTCTTCCGCCTCCTCCTCTTCCTCCTCCTCCTCCTCATCCTCCGCTTCCTCCCCCCACTCCTAGCCCTTTCGATCAGGGTCGGCGGCACCGGCCGTCAGGCCTTTCCAATCAATAGCGTTCCCGAGCCCTCCCGCTTGGAGGGTGCTTTTGTTGTCGTGGTGTCAACTCACCTGGCAGGACGGCACCTCATGGCATGGCAGATGTTACGCACCCTGGTGTTCGTAGTTACACCGTCAACGTCCACCATCCCTCAAGTAGGGCTTTTGTTCTGATATGGAGGAGCTTGACCGTTCCAAACTCGTTTGCGCCGTCGTCGCTGTCTTGGGCCAGGGCGGCCAGGCGATTAGTAAGAAAGCTATAGGACCATCGTCGAGCCAAAATAGATTACACAACATTTGCTGGGGGAAGTGATTACGCAAATTGTAACGGCGACGGCTTGCACTCGATGTTCGTAAATGCGGTGCTGCAGGCGGCAGCTTCCACGGGCAGCCTTCTAAAGGGTCTCGCCCTCCTCCTCCTCCAGTTTTTCCGCCCCCCTCTTGTTCCTCGCGCGTGGCCGATCCTCCCTCCTCCCTCCGTGCTCCGTCTCCCCAGCCAGCGAAGGCAAGGAGCGATTCAGAAGATGCTGCCAGAAGCAAGCTTCAACTGGAAAACTTTGAACCAGTATACTTATGGGACCCGTAGGTCATGACAGGGACGCGGCATGTGTGCATGCTTTCTGTTTCCGCCTAAGCGTGTGCGCGCTCGCGCCAGGCCCGAGTACAGACATACATAACTTTCGACCACGGCTGCGCAGCCGAAACTTCCGACGAAGGAGCAGCTGATGGGACGAGTCCTGAGGCCCACCCCGTCCCAGTCCATCCTCGCTCTTCTCGTCATCTTCCCCTTCTCTCTCTCTCTCTGTAGCGTCTCGCAGCGTCCAGGGCAGTGGGGCGCAGGGCTGCGCGCAAGCGCCCATATATGGGAGTGATCGAGTAACACCCGCCCCTCGACCAATCCACCCGCCCACGAACCTCTTACCGTGAGCAGGGGGGGGGGGGACAGCGCAGGGGTGGGTGCGCCAGACCCTGAGGGCTGGCGAGCGGCACGCTTGACCCCTTCAAGCCCACCCAGCGGCGTTGCATGTGTCATTGTCGAGTGAAGGGTACAATGCAATGTGCTCCCCCATGGCAATGTTCCTCTCGGCTCGCTGCTACCCACCTATACGGTGTAATGTCAATGGTGAGACACGTAAAGTCTTGCTCGGTTTACCGCGTACCTTGGGCGCTTCATTCATAGAAGGAGTTATCTTCTGTACGTTTACTGTTGGCTGGGCGTTTCTGACACACTACCTCGAATCTGCACTCCTCCTCCGACTCATCGTCCTCATTCTCGTCATTGCGCCTGGCACGACTCCAAGTAAGTTGGTTCCTCTTCTAAAGATGCCTAGGCAGACTACATTCAAGACGAGAAACAGTAAGCCAAGGACAAACTGAAGAGGTCCCGACGATACTCTATGACATACAACGACGTGACGCCGTGATATGCCCTGCGCACTGCACTGCCAAGTAATGCTATGCACAACTACACTTTGCACATCGAACCAATTAAACACACCTGCATTCCCACATCCTCGGTCACCATGCCAGCCATGCAAACCAGTTCAAAGCAAGGAAGCGTAATGCAGCACAGTGTGATGTAATGCATTGGAAGCGCAGTGGGATACAATGAAACGCAGTGCAATGCAGACTAATGCAGAACAAAGCAATGCAATGCGAAGCAATGCTGTACAGTGGAATGCAAAGAAATGCAAATACAAGGCAACCCAACGACGTTCTAAACATTGTAAGCGAAGCACAGTAAATCAACAGAAATGCGAAGCAGTGCAACTCAAAGCAAAACATCGCTAATGCGTGCAGGGCAAAGGCCTAGCACACCAACGTCAGCCACTGCCGAGCCGATGCAATGGCAAAGCAGCCCAATGCACCGTAACCAAACGAAAAGCAATACGATGCGAAGCGATTCAAATCAAAACAATGCAATGAAGCAGGATGAATTGGGATGCAATGCGCTCCAGCGCGAATGCAATGCAACGTAACGCAATGGAATGCGAGGCAAACCAGCACAGCGCATAGCACAACCCATCATACACGAAGTAGTATAACACAACGTGATTGGGGAGGCGGCAAGTGGGACCGAGGAACCAGAGGAAACCGCCGTGGAGACCCGAGGAAAGCAATGACCCCAAAAGGACACCCCCGAGAAACGGCGTCCGGGGCTAGAGAGTGCCAAAACCACCATACCCCTGGCACAAAAGAAATATTGCCCCCTTCGGCGAAACAGCCACATGAACCCTGCGCGAGCCAAATTGGAGGGAGATCTCTCCTGAAGGGAGGCGCCTAGGGAAATTACAAGCACGAAGAGCTAAGCTAAGGGCCAGCAAGCAAGGCACGCCAAATATGTCCTATGCCATACTATGCTCTATGCTGTGCCATGCCATGCCATACCATACCCTGCGCAATGCAAGGTAAAACAGCACAATGCGGTGCGACGCACTGCAAAACGAGATAGAACAATCCAATAGGGTACAAGGCGTTTCATCAAGCACACACTAACCATGCTAGCAATGCAGCGCAAGCAATAAAACAAGAGCAATGCAATGCAACGATGTTCAAAGCCATGCAAAGCAACAACATGCAATGCAATCAGCTACACTGCGAAGTTATGCAAATTCAATGGCATACACTGTAATGCAAAACAACACAATGCAAAGCAGAATGATGCACATGCCGAACAGCACATAGCATACCGCGACATACCAGAGTAACCAAATAACACGACGCATGTACCACAATCAGGGAACCGCAGAGAGAACCTGGCGACTCATCCTGGAAAAAGCAGAGAGCCTCTGGGCCTCTTGCGCAGAAGGAATAACGACTCTCAGGCGGAGCCAACTTAGTTGGGCAATCGCAACCGCAGGGGAGTGAATTATTCCATGTCGGACCACCCTGATGGGTCCAGAAGCTAATCCCCTAGCAGCTTCTCGCGACAAGTGGCGGGGTCGCCTGCAGGCTTCAACGCCTCGTCCAATCTCAACTTCTTGGTGGGCGCCTGGCCCGGCAAGAGCGACATCGGTGGCAACCTCCGCGGATGGCCTGACCCCGTGCCCAGATCCCTTCTCGTGCAGCATTTCTGTTAACAACAGGAGGCGCGCATTCGCACACATAATCGATGATCCAGGCGCTGTGAGCGAACGAGAAAAAGCGCAACTTTAAATTGTTCCTAGGTCGTGAGGCGCGCGGCGAAGGCAGAGACTGCGGCAACGCCCACCATCCACAAAATCTTCTTCCCAAGTGGCATCCGCTCCGAGTCTGCCCGGGGTCCCACCAAGGCCCACCCTGACGGGCTTCCGAGAATTGCGGCCGGCCGCGGCGACGATCCCTCCCTCAGGGGCCAAGGAGAAGTAGAGCACGAGCGAACATAACAAATATCAGCACGTCGCCGAAGACCCAGAGGCAACACCTCCTCACTCGGGGTTCCTGCCTCCTCCTCTTCCTCCTCCTCATTCTCCCTCCTGCTCCTTCCTCCTCCGTCCTCTCTTTCTCTCCGTTCTTCTCCTCCCGCCTCCTTGCTTTCTCATCCGTACTTCTCATATTCTTTCCTTCTCTCCTCTCTCTCTCTCTCTTTCTACTGAGGGCCTCGGCCCAAAAGGATCCCTCGCGATTCTGGGCCTGGCTCCCGACCCTCCAGCGCTCCTTCCTCGCGCTGGAGAGACTGGGCGGCGGCTCCCCCCTGCCGCCAGCCGACCAGGGACCTCCTCCTAACCTTTCCCACTCCAGCGGCCGCCCGGCCATCGTGGGCCACCGCGCTCCTCGGGCCGCCCCTGCGGCTTTCGCGAAGAAGATGGCCACGAGGGATCATCGGCAGGGTCCGCAGGATTTCCGGACCACATGGACGTCGTTCGGCAGCCTGGAGTACACGGTCGGGGCCCAGCCCCTTGCGGGGCTCCTTGCGGTCGCCTGTCGGCAGCCCGTCGAGCTTCGGGGATGTGTGTTGGGCGGTGCGCGCACGGGCTCGCGATGCCTCGGGCACGGAAAGGCCCCCTGGCGACCCACCCCCGCCAAACACACATCAAACCAACCCCTGGCCGGCGCTGCTCAAGGCGAGACGGCGCCTCTCGGCATGCCCTCGATGGGCATCGACCGGGCCACTCTCTCCCCATGCCGCCGCCCGCGCACACCAGTCGCCGACGCTCAGCCCTCCGACCACGGACACACCCATGCTGCCGAGCGGCTCAACCTTCGCGCGACGCCGCATGCAACTTGCCAGCAGCAAAGGGGGGATTTGCCAAGCAGCTCACGTCGCCGATGTTCCAAGCGCCTCCTGGCGCCGAAAACGGTCATGCGTCGAGGACTGGCTCTTCGGCGAAGCGACCGAAACCAGCTGCGCGCAGCAAGCTTTGCAACCCCCCCTTCCCTTCCCCAGCCTTTCGTCCGACCCGAGCAAGGCGGGCAGTCCTCCTCCCCCCCTCCGTCGCCGTCGTCGCCGCCGTCCCCCGCCCTGCCTGCGCGCAGCAGGTTTCGCAATCCCCCCTCTCGTTCCCCAGCCTGTCGTCCGACCCGAGCAAGGAGGGCAGTCCTCCTCCCCCGACGACGACGACGACGACGACGACGACGACGACGACGACGACGGGACGAGGAAGAGTACGACGGACGGCAGACGGCAAACGGCGACGACGACGCACTGCGGATGCCCTGTGGTGTGTGTGTGTGTGTGTGCTGCGCAGGCCTGCTGTAGTCGACGACGACGACGACGAAGGCGACGACGACAAGGACGACGAAGAAGAACACGGACGACGACGACAACGACAACGACAACGACGACGACGACGACGAGGACGACGGGACGAGGACGAGGACGACGGACGGCGGACGGCAGACGGCAGACGGCGGCGACGACGACGACGCACTGCGGATGGATGCCCTATGGGGCGGGGGGTGCTGCGCAGGCCCGCTCGTCGACCGACGACGACGACGACGACGCCGGACAACGAGAACGGAGACGACGACGACAAGGACAACGCAGAAGACGACGACGACAACGACGACGACGACGAGGACGAGGACGGCGGCGACGACGGCGACGACGACGACGCCTGAGAGGGGGAACAACAATTCGCCTCGGATGTGCACGACCCCTATAACAACTTCTATACGACAAGCAATCGTTTGAGGCTGTCATGCAGGGGGTACACGATCCCCTCAGCGGCGCCAGCGACGACCCCCTGGCGCGCGTGATGAAAAAAATGTTTCGCGCCCCGCGGGGTCTACTCATCAGCCCCGGGGGGGCCTGGCCTTTTGTTAACCACAAGATGACATACGTAATAATAATGCCGCCCTGCGACTGCGACCAGGACCAGTCCTGGTCACGGTCGCGGTGCACCGTTCGGATTAAATAATAACAGCGCCGCCCCGCGACCGCGACCAGGACCAATCCTGGTCACCGTCGCGGCCGGGGTGCATTATGAGGACTAGGTAAGAATAATGCCGCCCCGCGACCGCGACCAAGACCAGTCCTGGTCAAGGTCGCGGTCGGGGCGCATGATTCGGACTAGGTAACAATAATGCCGCCCCGCGACCGCGACCAAGACCAGTCCTGGTCGCGGTCGCGGTCGGAATGCCTCAAGATTAGGTAATCACACTGGCGTCCCGCGACCGCGACCAGGACCAATCCTGGTCACGGTCGCGGCCCGGGTGCCTTCTTTGGGGCTAGGAAATAATAATGCCGCCCCGCGACCGCGACCAGGACCAGTCCTGGTCGCGGTCGCGGTGCATTATTATTGTTCCATTGGAATCCCCCCCAGACCGCGACCAATCACTGTCTGGCCCTGGCGGCTGCATTATTAAAAGCACATTCGAATGCACCCCGAGAGAGACCGTGACCAAAACTGGTCCTGGTCACGGTCGCGGTGCGGCATTATCATCATTGCCGAAAGGCACCCTAATAATGTCACCCGCGACCAAGACCAGGTCTGGTCCTGGTCACGGTCGCGGGGCGGCATTATTATTACCTAATGTAATAATGCCATCCCGACCAAGACCGGGTCCACACTCCTCAGCCCTCAGCCTTGATATTTCTCCCACCTCACTCACCGCTGCCACTGCTCGACAGCTCTTTTTGCTCAGCTTTACGCCGTCCCAGCAACTCACTTCAGTTCTGATCTTTCCTTTTGTCAGTGCTCCAGCCTACGCTGTTGCTTGGACGGGGTGGAGGTCGGGCTAGGATGTTTATCGGGGATGGGGGGGTGGGCGGGTGGGCGACTTGCTGCTGTATTTTAGCATGCGTATCAGCCTACTTTAAGATGACCGTAATAGGCACTTAGCTTCCTCTCAGCACCTCAGCATCCAGCCACCATCACAGCCTTGCTGTTTCTCCCAACGCACTCACAGTTGCCACTCGACAGCGCTCTTTGCTCAGCTTTCCGCCGCTTCAGTAACGTACGTCAGCTCTGATCTTCTCTCTTGCCAGTGCCCCAGCCTGTACTATTACTTGGGATGGGGTGGAGGCTGGGCTGGGATGCGTGGGTGGAGCTCGGGGGCGGGTGCTTGCACACAGCAGGCCGCAGTCGCACATCTTGCCTCTCAACATTTCAAGCGCACACAATAATCTTCCAGGCCCCGTTACCGTAGGGCGTGGCCCCACAAAATAGAGCAATCTCAATTAGCATACATCCAAGCCTATGCTGATGATTTTAACCTGCGCTGCCAAGGCCAGCCAGTACGGCCTGGCCAGCCTACAAGTGTGTTCAGTACCAAGCCATTACACCTCCTCCCGTCCTCTAGTTCCCTTACCCTTGCTATATAGACACAGGACTTCCTTGTCCAGCCCAGACTCCTGCGTTCCACTGCCCTCGGCCAGGCAGGGCCAGCCCAACAGCGTGATGCTCATGGGGAGCAGGCGGTGTGCGATGTTCTGACCAGCTTGCCTGACGACTGGGGAAAGAGATTATGCGGGTGTGGTAGGTGATGTTGGTAGAGGAGGATCAGCCATCCAAATTTAACCGATCATGGCCAGCCAGTACCGCCTGGCCAGCCTACTGTGCTTTCAATGCCTTCAGCCACGACAGCACATCCAGCATGCCAGCACTGGAGCAGAGCACCTCATCCCAACCTCTCTCCCTTCTCCCTACTGTCTAGACGGTGAAGGTGCATCCCTCCACCGTTGAACCGACGAGCGGGCCTACTGCTGGCTAACGGGGGGCCTAGCAAGGCCAGGCGGGCATTTCAAAGGCTGCCCACTCTCTAGGCCAGCCAGTACCGACCTGGCCAGCGTGTTCGCTACAACGTAATGCCATGCGCTTTATGTGACATCTCACTGCATCAAAGACCCGGCCGCCTTCTTTCAGGCTCTCCTAGACAGCAGGGTGTGGCCCCACAATTTGCCGTGCTGCAGGGTTACTCACAGTGCTCTCTTCCCAGCTTGCACGTGCATCCAACATCGCCTGGCTGCTTTTTTCTTTTGTCCAATCAGATGTGTGATGTTGGGCCCTCGTTTTAAAAAGACAGCGCCCCGCGTCCCACCTCTCCTCTCATTTTCTTCCTCCTCCCATCCCTTGCCTCTGCCCTCCACATGTCCTCATCGTCGTCATAAGGGTGCATGCAGTTCCACCTCCATTTCGGTGCACCCCTCACACGTTTCGTGGCCCCATAGGGTGCTCCACTGAAGGCCCCGGTGGAAGGGTCCGCATGCAGTTCCACCCCCATTTCGGCGCACCCAGCACACGCTTCGTGGCCCCATAGGATGCTCCACCGACGGTCCCAGTGGCAGGGTCCGCATGCAGTTCTAACTCCATTTCGGCGCACCCCTCACAAGTTTCGTGGCCCATAGGGTGCTCCACCGATGGCAAGGTCCGCATGCAGTTCCAACCCCCATTTCGGCGCACCCATCACACGCTTCGTGGTCCCATGGGGTGCTCCCCCAAAGGCCCCAGTGGCAGGGTCCGCATGCAGTTCCACCCCCATTTCGGCGCACCCCTCACACGTTTCGCGGCCCAGTCGCAGGGCCCGCATGCAGTTCCACATCCATTTCGGCGCACCCCTCACACGCTTCGTGGCCCCATAGGGCGTTCCACCGAAGGCCCCAGTGGCAGGGTCCGCATGCAGTTCCACCTCTATCTCGGCGTATCCCTCACACGTTTCGTGGCCCCATGGGGTGCTCCACCGAAGGTCTCAATGGCACCGTTCGCACGCGCCCCCGCCACCCATTTCGGCGCACCTCTTACACGTTTCGTGGCCCCATACAGAGCTCCACCGACGGTCCCAGTGGCACCGTTCGCATGCGTCCCTGGCACCAATTTCGGCACGCCCCCCACTCGTTTCGTGGTCACATAAGGATCTCCACCGAAGACGATGCTCACAACTGCATTACTCACAACTGCATATGGTTGGGTCCTTCCTTCGTCAGGCAAATGTTCTTACCATCTTGCCTGCAACTTGACTGCGAAGGGACTTGCAGCTTGCATAGCTCGAGGGTTCTATGTGGGCGTGGTGGGGAGGATTCCAGCAGCAGCGTCCACGATCTCGTCACGGCGCCGCTCACCCCGCCTCTTTCACTTTAATGCCGCTCGCCTGCACCTACAAAGATTGGGAGGTATGTATGGGGAGGATCGGACGGGGTACGGGAGTACTCAGGCAAAACAGTGCGGCTGTCGCTTAGGGAGTCCCGCCCTCACATTTGCTCTCTGCACGCGTTTTCGTCCTCTCCTTGTTCCCTCATTGTCATTTCTGTCTTTGCTTGTCTCCTCGTCGGCTTCTCCCACAGTGCTGGTGGCTGGTGGCAAGCGCTGACTCTGCGCTTTGGGGGCCTCTGTCTTCCGCCCATCTTTTTTCGCAGTTCTCGTTCTGCAGCGCTCGCCACTTCAGCCTAACTTGTTTGTTTCTTCGTTTAAGTCGGCGATTGCTTTCTCTTTGCATCACTAGCGCCACAAGCTTGCGCTTCAGGTCCGACCAACGTCAAACAAAAGTGGAAGCCCACGAGGGGAAGATAGCGGAGGAGAACCTGGACGAGTCGGAGGTCTCCCGGCCCCACCGCGCGGGGGGCGGCCAAAGCTCGGAGCCCTCGCCCTGGCCGGCGGGCGCAGCGCCCCAAGCCAGGGCGGCTGCGGCAGAAGCGAGCAAAGGAGGAGGCAGGAAGGGGAGGGAAGGAGGAAAAGAGGCCTTCCAAGTGTGGACCGAATAGGTGTGGTCGGATGAACGCGCCGCGTCGCCGATGCATCGCCGCCGTCGGCGTGGAGGAAATCAAGCTTCGAATCGGGTCGCATCGCCGATGCATCGGCGATACGGCGCGATCTTCCAACTCCATCTACTCGGGCCCCCTTTCGAAAGCCTCGAGGGAGGGAGGGAGGGAGGGAGGCAGGGGGGGAGGGAAATGGGCGACGACAGCGACTGCGACGGTGATCCAGACAGTGACTGCTCCCTTCCGTCGCTCTTCATTATGAACAGCTCCCCGATGTCGCACCAACAGACGTGTCATTTGGCCTGGCTGGGCGTTCCGCTTCGGACTTCCTTAGCCAAAGAACTTTTTTGTTTTTTACCTCAACGGCCCCATGCTACCAATCAAGAGGACCAGGGTGAGGGAAGAAACTGTACATTCTTCATCCTCTTGTTCTACTGGGGATGCCTGCCATTACAAACGTGTTTCCAGGCATTCCTCCCAGCTGTGTCTGGTTTCCTGTCGCAGTTCTTGCCGAGCTTGGCAATTCTGCCGCCACAACTGTAGGCATGACGATCCAGACAAATACAAGATAATGAACCATCTGAGCAATCTATAAGCGCACAACGCTGCCCATTATGGTTCAAAAGCTTAGGATTTAAACGTGTGGGCAAAACACAATTGCCTGGAGGGGGGCGGAGATGACCTCGCTTCCCACGCAGACATGCTTCACACTGCCAGTGCGTAGATACCCAGATCCACGAGTGCTCAGGACCCTTCGCACGAGCATTACGCGCAGGCTTGACATATTCCACTCTCGAGAGATCACACTTAGGCCACAAGGGGAGGACTCGGGCCGCGAACTTACACACAGCCCGGCTAACCCTGGTGTGCCAGTCAATGCGGTCCTTGACATCAGGATCAGGCTCAGGATGGAGAGACGCACCAATCTTAGCCGCTTCGTCGGCGAAGTGGTTCCCCCACCGACGTAAGACTCTCCTGCCGAGATGTCTTCTTCATCGAGCTGCTTGTGCGCAGCCACTTTGGTGACCCCTTGGATGGATCCGACCGCGCCCGCGAAACCTTCGATCACTGAGACCGCATAGGCCCGGTGTCCCGAGACACGGCCAGATAGAGACCTACTAGCCACAGAGACGACACTGGCTCAATCGCTGAAAAAATGAAAGCCACCGTCCAAATTCACCCCAGCGGCGGCGAAAGAGCAGAACTCGCCTGACTGGGCTGTCTGCGGGAAAGAAACCCAGACAGGGCCGTGCATTCTGGACAGGAGCCTGTGATCAGAAGAGATTTTGGAAATAGCCCAACCAGACCTACTAAGCTCTGTAATGACGCTTTTGAAACAGCTGCCACCCAGGAACATGTCTCCCGAGAAAGGGGTCCCACGGGTCACGCCTTCATCAGCATCTTCCTGATCCTGTTCGAACACCTGAACAACCACCCTGCTGATGTCTAGGTCCAGCGCTGGTGGAACGAAATCTCTAAGATGAAGGAACGCACCAATAAGGAAGAGGATCAGGTCATTGGAAATATCGAGCCTAGCCTCAAATGCACGATCGATGATCATCTGATCTACTTGTTCGAAACGTTCATCTGATACACAGCTGCACTCCCACAGCCGGTGGAAGATCGTGCCCTGGTGCTGACCGCACTTCGGGCACAAGGGCGCAACCTGATAACCCTTAGCTAGTGCTCTGGCCTGAGTCCATATCGAATTGCACCATAGGGATCGGATGCAACATTTCTCGAAGTGCGAGAACTTCGATGATCGGAGAGCCTGCTGGATCACGTCGAAGCAAAGTCGAGGGATGGAGCCAGGCCGAACTAAGTTGCCTGAGCTCGCGGCACCAGTCGCGGCAGAGACGCTTTGCTGGCACGCGGAGGTGTTCTGGTCGTCACCAGCAGAAACGCACTCTGAGCTTGGAGAAGAGGAGGTTACCGCTGCCGCGCTCGACGGAACACCACTGGAAGGCGTGGCCATGCCCACGCATATACCACCATCGCCCAACCTACCGAAAGACTGGCGCTCCAGGTGGCGCTCCACGAGGGTGCGCGAGATCTTTCTCCTGAATCGTCCAAGAAACATGTGAACCCATCCATGCTCCATCCAAGCCGCTTCAAACAAAAAACACAATTGAAATAGGGCCCGGAACCGTCCTCAAGGTAAGCTGCTTTTAACCAGAATCCCTCCGAAATACACAATCCCAAAAAGTCCAGAGCGTCGTCAAGTCCAGACATCCCCGAAAGAGGTGAATACGTAGAAGCCACACCTCCTTGCAATACCTGACTATCGGAGCCACTACGGAATGCCAGACAAGGTCCCCCTCCAGGAGACTCAAGACCGTCAGAAATCGACTGGATGCAGGGGGCTTCACACTGGCCACCTGTCCACGCAAGGAAAGAATCTCGCCATCGGTCATGCCCTGTATTTCAGAACATAGATGTGTATATATATATATAATGTATGTATGTATGTATGTACGTATGTATATATATATATATATGGCACCAGGGAGCGGCTCGGAGACAAAAACACGAACGGATGTTTCCCCAAAGTGCCCCCGAAGCCGACGACGACGAGCCACTTTCCGTCGCATCTGTCTGAAGCGAGTAGCCCGCTTAACCAATTTCTGTCGACGGCCAGTCCTGAAGGCAGCTCCAGCGGTGTCATCAACACCTAGACTCGTAGCAGATTCGTGCCGAACACCAAAAGATCCTAAGCGAGCCTCCAGTTCCGCTCCAAGCGCACGAGCAAACAAACGCTACATGGCGATCTTCCGTCCTATCATGTATGCGATCGCATGATACAACGCACAGACCATGTCGAATATAGCATGGACCACGAAACAGCGCTTCCCTATGGCCGATATTTGCGTGTCGTCGATGTAAGCATCGCGACTTCTGGAGCCTGAGCTGAAGTGTCCATCCCGCCCGTCGAGCTTGTCCCCTCCAGAATCACTCCCGAATAGCGAACGAGGCACCGAGTCACATGCGTCTAGAAAGTGCACCCTGATGAGGGTCGTGGCCATGCTGCATCCGGCGATGATGCCGCAAGTGGCGTAGATGGCGCTGGCGCACATGCCTGACAACACTCTACGACGAGCTACCCGAAAGGCAGACAAGCACACGTTCATGATACCTGACGGGAATTCGTGCTTTCGGCCTCGGGCCCTCAAAGCAGACAGGCAAACCAGCTCGCAGTATTCAAACATGCCCCACAAGACCGGCGCCGAGCAAGATCCCTGGCGAACGCCGAGCTCCGAGCGCACCGACTGCCTCCAGACTGTGTCGAGAGCCCCCCCTGTGTCGACCCGCAGCGAAATACCCTCTGGCGAAATCCTCCTCCCAGACCGCAGCGAAAGGCCGGCGTGCCCGACCCCAGATTCGATATGGAGAGGGAACAACGCCTAGCGGTCTGTACCCACCTGTAGTCTCAGACAGAAGAGCCACCAGTACGGCGCGCAATTGAGCTGGGAGGACCGAAGATCTCTCCATGATGCTGAAGATGAGGACGAGGACCGATATGGCTTCGTCGCTCATGAACTGGTAGTGCCTCATCTGGAACCCATCGAAGGACACGGCAGTCCGTTCAGGATAGCTCTTGCTAAGGGCTCGGATGTCCTCAAGAGCGAAATCTGGAATGGGGGTCTGCAATGCCGATTGACGCCATAGGGGCCGTCTGACGGATCTTCCAGAACCCAAGGAAACGAGAGGCTTCACGGTCGAGAAGGCCCTGAGGATCTGAAATAATCTGGCCTTTCTCAGACAGGGTAGTGGTTGGATACCAACACTTGGGATCCCTCCTGATGGCGCTGCGTGCATTCCGAGCTCCTCGGTTCAACTTGTCAGCGAGCCAGGCGCACCGATCCTTCTTGGCCGCGTCTCCGCAAAAGAAGGCAATGCATGAGGACAGAGCGCCCTGCTGCTGAACGCGCAAGTCGCCGAGCTGGCCAACGTGCCCCACCGTGATGCGATCGGGCGCCCGCGAGCCTATCAGGTCTTGGATTGCCTTCAGATGGCCCCTATGGTCCTCCGCGTGGTTTGCGATCCAGTCCAGAGCCTCCAGAAGCTTGTCATCTATTTCAGGGCGCTGCCCAATCTGAACAGCCTGCCGAAGGCCACCTGGGAGAACGCGGCGCAACGAAACAACGCCGAAGTGACAAAAGGTACCGTTCGAGGCGTCGAGCCCTCTGGGGGCTAGAGAGAACCGGGAGACCGTCGAGGCCCTCTGGGGCCCTCTGGAGGCGTCGCGCCCTCTGGAGGCGTCGAGCCCTCTGGAGGCGTCGAGCCCTCGTTGGAGGCGACCGCGGGCGGAAGACCGCGATCTTAAATCGCGAACGCACCCAGCGAAAGGCTGAAGAGTCGGGCAACGCATGTCACGATAATCCAAACGCATAATCGACTTCCGCTCTCTGTGGCTCCTTACCCCTCGAACCCAGATAACTCAGTCATCGCCGTAGTACGCCGCACTCAGCTTGAGCGCCGCCTTGTTGGCCCAGACCTTGCATGCCCCGGTCATCGAATGTCCTTGGCGAGCGGCCTCTCCAGCCGCGGGCGCTTCTTCAGCGTGGTACAATAATCGGCGAGGTGAGCTGCAGTCCTCAGGTCGAGGCAGCGGCCCCGGCCTCGGGGCAACAGGAAGGGGCGGAGGGCGGCGGGGGCCCAGCGCCTGCAGCCTGCGCAGAGAAGGATGAAGCCTGCCTTCCCCCTCTAAAAACTTGCACGCATTAGCGATCAGGTTGATGTTTCGATCCGACAGGCCTTCGACGTCGTGGCACCTGGGGGGCGATCGCCACTCGCAACTGCAGGTCCCCCAGGCAGGTTTAGACGGGCCCGTCTCGCGTCGAGAGGCCCATGTCTGCTTTGTCGGCGAGTGCAATGCGCTTGTTAGTCTTGTCTTAGCCATGCCGCCTGCCTCTCGGAAGGGCCCC